ATAGCTTCAAGCATCAGACATGTATTTTGTCCTTGATTTGTTTTATCTTCCTGTACTTGCCAGACCTGGTTACTTTTTTCTCCTAGTCCTCTTCTTCCTAGAGGAGTTTTTTGAATTAGAAAATTCATCCAAGGAAATCTACAAAGGAAAATTTACTAACTATGATATGATCCTTAGTTTCCATTGCATATACACAAGAATTGTTGTTTGGATCCATTCTCCCTGCATCTCACCCAGGCCAGACTCTTATTTCATATACAGCAAATTTGGCGACATTTTTTTTTTTTAATAGAGACACGTGTGCATGAGCGCAGGTGAGGGGCAGAGAGAGAGAGAGAGAGAGAGAAGGAGAGAATTCTAAGCAGTCTCAGTGCTCAGCACAGAGCCTGACGTGGGGGCTCAATCCCACAACTGTAGGATCATGAGCTAAGCCGAAATCAAGAGTCAGGTGCTCAACTGACTGAGTCACCCTGGTGCCCCAGTAACATAGTAATTTTTATAAAGCAGCTAATAACTAAGTGAGCAGTTTTAAGTGAGGTGAGTGTTCATTTTAAACAACATTCTGGGTATTTGAAAAGAATGCCACTGATGAATGAGTTTTAACTTTCCCTACCCTTTTGATAATCTGATGAAAGCTGTGGGTTCTCTCTGTTAAAAATGCACATAGCTCATTTTTGAGGACTGGGACATCATACGTCCAGGCCATCAATGAACTCTTGATTAAAAATGCCTACCATCTGTGAAACAAACAAGTTTGAGATACAAAGGTCTGTAGCTTTTACAAAACCATAAAATTATGTATGTGGTTCAAATACAAGATAAATTGAGGTCAATTTCAATTTCATTTTAACTGTAACTTAATTAGGAAGAATATATCTGCTGGATATAGTGGATACGGTGATGAGTGACCCATATCCCCCTTGAGAGTCTAAGTATGTATTCGCCCATATGCTGGAAGTGCTGTTGACACAGTCCTTAGTTGTTAGCCCCTGCGGTGATTGCCTTGGCTAAAGAAGCCTCTTTTGCTTAAGGACATACCACTTTCCATGGATGTCCCAGTAATTTATCTCTCTAGGATACACGGGCTTAAGTCCATTGCCCTGACTTGAGACAACTCTGAGAGATCATCCCAGATTCAGAGCTCCTCATGGGGTCATCTGAATCTTTTGGGACTTTGTGGCAGCTGAATTTCTCCCTCTGCACAGTCCTGCTCTCTCCCTACCACCTTCCTTTCCACTGGTATTGATCTTAAAAGCACCATCTAATAAACTTACACAGTAAAATCTGTCTGAGGGTCTGCTGCCTGGGAAACCCAGCCTTGTCACACTAGGATTGAGTATTAGTACAAGTTAGCTTACTGGCCATGAAAGGAGGCTTGGTTAAAATAAAAGTTTAGTGAGGGGCACCTGGGAGGCTTAGTGGGTTAAGTGTGACTTTGGCTCAGGTCATGCCCTGTGTCAGGCCCTGTGCTGACAGCTCGGAAGCCGGAGCCTGTTTCAGATTCTGTGTCTCCCTCTCTCTCTGCCCCTCCCTCCCCTGCTCACACTCTGTCTCTCTCAAAAATAAATAAAAGCATTTTTTAAAAAGGTAAAAAAAAGTTTGGTGAGATGAACTTGAATTTAGACTCAAAATATGTGAAGGATCTCATTAGTATTCCCCTTCAGGCCTTATATTTCCAGTGGTTTTGGAAATCTAGGTTTCTTTGAATTCATTACTTGTCTCTCAGTCTTTTTTTGACCTTGCAGAAAACCGCCAAAGTCTCTGACAGCTTGGTTTGTTTGTCACACAGTATGAGCCTGTGAAAGGTGTGGGTTAAGTAAAGAGTTGCTCACACGGCTTGCAGAAACCCCTAAAGGTTTCCCATGTTGATAAGTATATATGATAAGGGAACCCCCTCTTGTTAGAATCCTAATCATATTCTTTACCCCACAAATCCTAAGATTTCTTTCTTGGACAGCGTTTAGAAAATTATTGCTTTTGTTATTATCATTAAAATGGTGTGTTCTAAATATTTGAAAAAGATGGAAAACCGTGTAACAAGGAAAATTCTGTGTAAAACTGAACTCTTCCCTCCTTCAAATTGGGATAATATTGTACATACCTTTTGATAACTTGTCCTTTTCCCATAATAGTGTGTGAAAAGCAAGTTTCCACACCTTCACTTAATCCTTAGGTATATGAATTGTAATGGTTGCATAATATTCTATTTAGTGGATAGACCATATGTAACTTAGCTAGCCACCTATTATGTATTTGAGTTTTCTAAACTTTGTTAATTTTAATAAATAATAGAATAATGATTACTTTTTCTTTGAAACTAAGCCTAGTGTGTCTGATTTAAGTAGCTATTTAATAATACTGAATTCTTTTATCACTAAAATGGTAGTGAACTATTAGATGTAAGACTTCTTAAAAAATTTTTTAGTGTTTATTTTTGAGAGACAGAGAGACAGAGAGAAAAGCACAGGCAGGGGAGCGGCCAAGAGAGAGGGAGACATAAGGTCCGAAGCAGGCTGTAAGCTCCAGTCTGTCAACACAGAGCCTGATGTGGGGCTTGAACTCACAAACTGCAAGATCATGACCTGAGCCGAAGTCAGACGCCCAACTGACTGAAGCACCCTGGTGCCCCAAGACTGTTTTATCTAGATAGCCATTGTTACTATACAACTTAAAGGGGGTAGCATTCATATGGATGATGTGAATTGAGTTCCTAAGTGCAGTGTCACCATTATCAGAAGGATTGCCATTGTTTATTTATGGATCCTCTTTGTTTGAACAATTTTAGCACAGGAAGGTCAGGCAAATTTTTATAAATGCCTGCCAGATAAAAAAAAAAAAAAGTATTTGAGACATTTATATAATTGTCTATCAAGCAGATCTTAACTGGCAGTGACCTTTGGTTTCCCCAGCTTTTTTTCCATATTATCCAGTTATTTAAATGCAAGAGGTCCCTCGTTCTGTTATCTGTCCCAAAGCAGGTTTATCAGGAAACTTATTTTCCCTCTCAGCAATTAATAAAATCTGTCAGGAGCAGTGGACTCTGAATGTATGTTCCTAAAGGTCATAGCTATACTTACTGTATAGTTCAAATTGAACAGTTTTTAAGATAAAATATGGCAGTACTCTGATGAAATTTATTACTTTTTAAATGGTCTCAGCTTCCCCATGAGAGTATAGTTGTATTTTAGAATTGAAGGAGCATTAGTGTTCTTTTGTTTTACAGGTAAAATAATTAGAAAGATCAAGTAACTTTCCTAATATGATGTAGCCAATTATTTTTTCATTAATCTACTCTATAACTCATATGATAAGAGTACAGTTGAAAAGGAAACTCAACCAAAGAAATAATTGGTTGCCATCCACAGTCTTTGGTGGGCTTATTAAAGACCATAAACAGTAATTAACAATATAGATGTGGAAGGTTTTCACAACCTAAACTGAGTTGAAAACATTGCTTAGAATTGCTCATGATTTTGTTGTGTCTTCTAATCACTAGAAACACATTCCTGACAAGTAAAATTTAAAGGCCAGTATAGTCTGGGCAGAAACTCATTTTGGTAAATTGTAGTTGTGCCTTGTTGGTACTTTTTGCCAGAGCATAGGGTAGTAGACAATTGCCTAGAAATTAGAAGACTTAATGAATTTTTCCTTTTTATATTTTATTAATTACTATAGACCCCTCTTTGCCCCTGACTATGACCATTCATGCAAATTGTACTTCTGTCATTGATACTGAAAGGTATTATTAACCTAGTAGGTAAAAGTCAGAGCCTTTCTGAATAACTTGCTTCACACAGTAAATTGAGGCCGATGACTACTTAGAACAACTGTGGAGACATCATCAAAAACACTCATTAAATGAAAAAAAAAAACACTCATTAAATGATGTTTAAAGTAGCTAGGTGATTGCAAGAAGTGTTTTGGGATTCCTTGGTCCTTAGACCTATATACTAGAAGAAGTCTTTTCTACCTTTACTCATTGATTAGAACCTCAGAGGCAGAGTAATCAGTTCCACTTGACTAGGAATAAATCATTCACATTGAAACATGATAGTTCCTGACAACTGGCAATGCTGATAAAAACCAAAACAAAAGATGTCAAGAAATCTGTGCCAATGTGGAATTAGTATGCAGGTTTGATAAATTCACATGTAGCATGCATTTGGTATTAGTCTTTCTCTGGTTTCATACATTTTTTTTCTCTCTCTGTAAAATAAAAATTGTATGAGGAGAAAAAGATTCTATATAATACAATAATAAGTTTTTCTAGTTAACAGAGCTATATTATGATTAGAGAGAGCAGTGTCATCTTTTTATAGTTATTTTAAAAAAATCTTGAATTCTTCATTGTTCTTTATGGTAAAAAACTGTATAAACCTGGTTGATCTCCCTTCTCCCTATTTATCATCAAGGACGTAGATACATAGAATAAACACCACTTCCTTTGATCTCTACAGAATTATACTCTTGCAGAAATTGAATATGCTCTAATAGGTACTTCATGATCTCTTTCTATATCAGATAGCATTTGTGGAAGTAGAAAAAAAAGCCCATAGAATTTTAAAATACATAATTTTCTGCAACAGTCATTTATTAATTTTCAATATAATTAAAAACAAGTAAGAGAAGGAAAATCTTTTTTGCCGTTTCATTGTCAAGTGCTCTCTAGTCCAAACTAGCTTCCTTCTACCCCTTGGAAGTCAGGCTAAACAGACTATTTTAGTAATATATTGATTCTGAAGTCCTGATTAGCAGGTGTCTTTGGCTCTGCCCACTAGCTTTAGTGTATTGTGTTTGGATAGATGTTCTTTCCATGGAAGATGCACTTTTGTATTTGCAGTGGTTTTGTATCTCTACCATTCATGCTTTGCTTCCATAGGGGATATGATTTTTTTTTTATAAGATTTTAATACAAGTGACCACAGTAATAATGTACCATGTCTATTGGTAAACACTAATAATAAGGATAGTTTGTGTAAAGATGGCTTGACTCGGGAAGAAACTAGAGTGCGGCGTGAACATGGGGAAGCAAAAGAAAGCAAGAAAATATGCAACCATGAAGCGAATGCTTAGTCTCCGAGATCAGAGGCTTAAAGAGAAGGATAGATTGAAACCTAAAAAGAAAGAAAAGAAAGATCCCAGTGCACTCAAGGAAAGAGAAGTCCCCCAACATCCTTCCTGCTTATTCTTCCAATATAACACACAGCTGGGCCCGCCTTACCACATCCTGGTTGATACCAACTTTATCAACTTTTCCATTAAAGCCAAACTCGATTTAGTACAATCAATGATGGACTGTCTGTATGCCAAGTGTATCCCTTGTATAACTGACTGTGTAATGGCTGAAATTGAGAAATTGGGTCAAAAGTATCGAGTGGCTCTAAGGATTGCCAAGGACCCAAGATTTGAACGATTACCATGCACACACAAAGGAACCTATGCAGATGACTGCTTAGTACAGAGAGTAACTCAGCACAAGTGTTACATTGTGGCCACAGTTGACCGGGACCTTAAACGAAGGATCCTGAAGATCCCTGGAGTTCCCATCATGTACATTTCTAACCATAGGTACAACATTGAGCGGATGCCGGATGATTATGGAGCCCCTCGGTTCTAATTCTAACACTCTAAAGATAGAGGTCCTGTGCCTTCCTTTACCAACTTTTTCTGTTGCCAGTTCATAGAGCAATACGCTGTAGCATGAGTTATTCTCCTTATCCATTTGCTGTGTTATGAGCTGAGTATGGTTAAATACACTCATTGTTTGATGTTGTTTTGTTGAAATTGTTGAATTTGATTGTTGAAATTGTTGCAATTGTTGTAATTGATATTTTGTATCATTTTGAATTTTGTTGCATCTTTTTATAAATCAAATGACTGCACATATAATTTGATGGTTGTTGTTTTATATTGGTGTACACAACAAATATTTATTAAGGTTATACTAGGTACTTAGTAAGGTATGGTCCTGCCCTCAAGACATTGATATTATAGGAGAAAAGAGAAACGTGTATATGAATAAATATAGTAATATAGTGATGCCAGGTTAAAAGTCTGAGGGAATAGACCTACCTATATTTTAGAAAAGAATGATTTCTTTTTACTTGGTTGTAATGGGGAGGGAGGAAAGGCTAGAGGTAGTAATATTTGTGTTAATCTTTATAAATGAAAAGGTGCTTGAGGCACCTGGGTGGCTCAGTCGGTTAAGTGTCCGACTTCGGTTCAGGTCATGGTCTCACGGTCTGTGAGTTCGAGTCCTGCATCAAGTTCTGTACTGACAGCTTATAGCCTGAAACCTGCTTCGGATTCTGTCTTCCTCTCTCTCTGCCCCTTCCCTGCTTGTACTCTGTCTCTCTCTCAAAAATAAATAAACATTAAAAAATTTTTTTCTTAAAAAAAAAAAAGAAAAAAAAAAGATGGCTTGACTCATTTGTATGATTGTTTTTTTAATCACAGAACATATTATTTATAGCATGGTGATTAAGAGTAGGATTCTAGAGCTGAATTGCCTAGTAGTTATCTCATAGTCTTCTGGTGATGCTTAAATTGTTGTTATATATAAAGTTCTTACAGTAGTGCCTCACATACATACTATGTTCCTTTTAAGTGTTAGTATTCCTTTTTATCACCACTACCTCCTCCTCCTCACCACCACCACTGTTCTTCTTCTCTTCTTCTTCTTCTTCTTCTTCTTCTCCTTCTCCTTCTCCTTCTGTTTATTGATTTATTTTGAGAGAGAGAGAGAAAATGAGAGAGCCTCTGCACGCAGGGGAGGAGCCCTGTCAGCATGGTCCCGACACAAGGCTTGAACTCACAAACTGTGAGATCATGACCTGAGCCAAAATCAAGAGTCAGATGCTTAACCAACTGAGCCCCCCCCAGGCATCCCTTATTTTCTCATTATTGTTATATTGTATTTTGTTATTTTAGGGATTCTGTGGTTTCTGTTCCTGCACAATGGAGAGGTTTTGTTTCGGTTTGTTTTTGTAGATAGTCTGAGTATATTTAAGGGAGTATTTTTCCACTTAACTTGATCCCAAATAAATATCCGTATTGTTCATATTCAAGTATGTGCACAACTGATCTAGTTTTTTTCTTGGCTGTTGTATTCTAGTTTTTTCCTTGTCTGTTGTATTCCAACCTTTTTATAAATCATTTATTTTAGGTCCTGTGGATAATTGAATTTAGTATAGAAATAGGAAACTGTGTATTTCCTATGTGTATTCAGTATAAACTGAAATAACATGATTTGGGACTATCTAGGTGATCAGCTTTTACATCTTCAACATGAGGTAAGAGCACAATTCTGAATCACAACCAAAGTGAGGATGTGTAACAGCAGCTTTCAGTAGGTCTCATGTTATCCATCGTGTTGCTAGGTAAACTAAAAGAGAAGTACTTTTGTATACACTCCTCCTCCCCCCACATGCCACACACAGCATCTTTTGGGTTTATTCAGTGCTTACACGGCTAATTTGCACATATCTATGTGTTTTTCAACTCTTCCTTGTTGACGGCAACTTGCTCAAAGGAGGCAATTTTACTGTCCACCGTCCTTCATTTTGTCAGTTCTTTTCAGTATGGAATGTTTATTCCACCTCTTTAGAAGTGAATAGCCATTCTTTTCCTCTCCTCCAACTCAACAATCTGTTTAGACAGCTGGGTAATTGAAAAAGTAGCTTAGGGAGAACGAGTTAATGGGGATTTTACCAAGTTTAGCACCCTCTGCACCTGAGTATATTATGAAAAGTTTTTGCCAGCAAAGAATAATGCATTCCTTTAATAGTTTGACTACACATAAACTATAGGAGTGGTATTGTTAGCAATTTAACTTCTTAATTTCTTTCTTAGATGCTGATGATGGGGGAGAAGGAAGAATATTATCCTTATGATGCTTTTAAGGGCTGTTTGTATATTAGGTGGCCTCCTAAAACAAATCTCTGTTTTCTTACATCTAAAACTTGGGTGGTTCTGTGAAATTTCATTTTAAGTAATGGCTCTTATATTGCTCTTTCTTGACAAGAAAGTCTAATTAATAGCATGGTTATATCTTTTCTTTGTTTAATAAGGTTTATATTTTAACAACTAGAATGGTGGCATGCATAGCTGGCTAAACGTGTAAACACCAGTGTATAGCATTCTCTGTTTTATGTGGAGTATTAGATTTTTGAGTGTCAAAATTCTTTTTAGTGGTTGTGAGTATACCTAAGCGGCGATCCATATGAGACTGTAATAGTAGTGTCTGATTTAAGGTAGACTAATGGTTTTCATTTGTGATGGTCTTTTTCTGAAAGTAGGTTTTGAACTTTTAATGCCTTTGAAAAGACTGAAACCCATTTCAAGCATTTCAGTGGTTTACCTGTGTGATTGTTTCTTTGTTAAAGAATATAAACCTAGAGGCACCTGGGTGGCTGAGTCAGCTAAGTTTCCATCTGTTGATTTTGGCTCAGGTCATGATCTTGTGGTTTGTAAGATAGAGCCCTGCATTGGGCTGTAGTCTGACAACATGGAGCCTGCTTGGAATTCTCTCCCCCTCCCTCTCTGCCTCTGCTTCACTTGCAGAGCGCGCTTGCTCGCGCTCTCTCGCGCGCGCCCTCTCTCTCTCTCTCTCTCTCTGTAAACAAACATACAAACCAAACAACCAACCTTACTACCTTTAAAAAAAAAAAAAAAGAATAAAAATCTAAGCCGTACACAGTATTTATGGTAACTTATTCTAAATTTGCATGGTTTATTTATTCTGCTTGTGGAATTCTCATTGACTTTAGAGAGGGACTTGATTTTTTCTTCCCTGTAGAATGAGGCAGTTCCTTTAAAGAGCTTATATTAAATTGATTACTGCAAAGTTACCTGAACATTGTATCTAGGCTTCTTTTATAGTTACTTTCTTAGCAAGAGTTTATGTGTATGCCTAAATACAGTTTCTAAAAGTGTGAGCTTAATATTATTCATTTACTGATTAATGAACCAATATTTATAATAGACCTAATGTGTGCCAGATATGAAGATAGAAAATTGGGGTGGAAGGGTAGGATCCAGTCTACTTGTGGAGACATGTATCAAACAGAGAATTATAATATGGTCAGGGATTAGTGTTATAATGTATATATAGATGGAAGAATAGAGATAAATGTGGTAAACATATAGATAGATGAAAGAATGGAATGTGTGTGTATGTATATTATAACATGTATATGCGTAATAAAATACAAAGAACATTTTATTCTCATAGAGCTAAGAGCAAGGAAATCTTTTCAAAGGAGATAACATTTATGTTGCTTTTTGAAAGCCATGTAAAGTAAATCAGCGAGTTCTAATACTAGCTCAAGAGACTAATCACATTCTCCAGCTTGATTTTTCTTTCTAGAACTTATTGCCATCCTACATTCTATATTTATTTCATTCAGTCGTTGTCTACTGCATTAGGATGTAATCTCTTTGAGGATAGGGATTTTTGTCTTTTTTATTCTATATTCTCAACACCTAGAAAAGTTTCTGGCCTAAAGCAGGAGCTCAAGTATGTGTCGAATGAATGAATGAAGTTTGTGAGTTCTATAGTAATTGCCTTGTTATTTCTTTTAGTTTATTAAGACTATCTCTTGGGGTTCCTGGGTGGCTCAGTTGGTTGAGCATTTGACTTTGGCTCAGGTGTTGATATCGTGGTTTGTGGGTTCAAGCCCCACGTTGGGCTTTCCACTGACAGTGTGGAGCCTGCTTCGAATTCTCTGACTCCCTCTGCCCCTCCCTCCCTCTTCTCTCTCTCTTTCTCAAAAATAAATAAACATTAAAAAATGTTTGAAAAGACTATCTCTTTACAATCTCTTCATTTTTTCCCTTAATATCTTTCATTATGTGTACTTGAGTCTCCCATGATAACATGCTATCTCCATAATGTTTCTCAAACCCACTCCTTCTTTTCCGTGTCTCTTAGCTCATCGAGTCTTCAAAATCTTTTATCTGAATTGATAAACTCTAATTGTTTTCCATGTCTTTATCTAAGTCCCCTTAAATTTTTTCTCTGCAGCCATCAGAATTATCAGTCTAAAAGACAGAACTGACCAGACCATTTATTTGTTTAAAAATACGTAATGGTATTCTAGCCTCTGTCTAGAATAAAATCTGTCTAGAATAGATCACACACAAGGCCTTCTATAGCGAGTTCAGGTATATAATGTGTATGAAGGAATGAATAACTGCAATAAGAAATTTCATTGAAAATGCTTCCTGTTTGGATAAAAGGAGATATTATAAGAATATATCTTAAAACTAGTGTTTAAGAGCAGTTTTTCTTTATATAGCTAATTTGTCTTTCTTACTGTCTTGTTCTAATCCTCAATTCACTGTGAAGTGATTTATAGTGTTATTATTGAAGTAATCCAATTTCTCATGTCTTTTCTGTCTATAATTCCTCTCTCCATCCCATCTCTATATGTTGGGTCTTTTCTCTCTAGCTACTTACCTTATTTCTTTAGAGATATATGTATTATGTGTGTCTTTTCTCTGTTTTGGATATAAATTCTGACTTTAAAGTTTTGCATGTAGTTTTGAAGCCCTTGGGATTAAATTATTTCTATGGAACACACTCAGAGATAACCCTGATCTACCTGTTTTTAATTTAAAATTATTTTCATTGTGACTATTTATATTCCTCTTAATTTCCTTTTTTTCTCCCCCACACTCAGATTGAAAATCTTCAAGAGCAACTTAGAGATAAAGAAAAGCAAATGAGCAGCTTGAAAGAACGAGTCAAATCCTTGCAGGCCGATACTACCAACACCGACACTGCCTTGACAACTTTGGAAGAAGCCCTTGCAGAGAAAGTGAGTGACTGGTTTGGACTCTTCATAGACACGTTTCCTCTGCTTTCTCATTAATGTAAAATTTTCTTTAGTAATAAGACTTGGATATAAAAGGCAGAAGAAGTCCCTTAGGGCAAAAGAGAAAAGAGCTTTCTGTTCTATTGCTGACATAGATAGTATAGGGGAAAGAAAATCCACTTTGTTTTTGTCAATTTAAGCATCTCTTGTTAGGCAAGATGGATTCCATAGCAGAGGGCAGTGGCTGAAATTTCTAAACAGTAAGCCATATGTTCCCCATTTGCTATCTTCTGAAGAAAAAGAAAGTTCTTTTTATTTATCTCATCAACTAGAATTTGAGGATGTAGGCTCTCAGACATTGACCATCAGGAAGCCCTATATAATTACTTCTCTTTTACCGTATCATACTGGTACCTAACATAGTCATGGATTTTAGTTATTGATACAACATACTTGCTATGCTACTGCATTTTGTGTTCATGAGCAAACCTAATTTTTCAGGAATGGTTGACTAAGTAAAGAAGTGGCCCAGCTGGACAAGTGTTTATGTCTTAGGATGAGGTTTAAGGAATCTTGGTGGGGCATTTTAATTGGATTTTTTTTAAAGGAGTAGGGTCACTGTTCTTTAAGCCCCTGGGACTCAGAATGCTTCAGGCTGTATGCCAGGGATCAAGGCTTGATCCATGAATAAATTCAGAAATAATATCCAGAAATATACTTAAATTGCTTCAACTTTTAGACTTCCTAAGTATCTGTTGACAGTTTTAATGGCTTCTCTCTTTTACCCTCCTTTTTTATGCTTTAGCCTCCATATGTCATAATCTCATCAATCTCTTTGGTGTGTGAATTGTAAGTTGTTTCCATTGCCTTATGTGCAACATGTATATTACATATAAAAAAGGAATATTTGTTGCCTATTGCCGTGTGTGTGTGTGTGTGTGTGTGTGTAAAGTTTTTGATACTTGTGAATTAAATAAATGGGATTATTCTAAAAGAATACTTTAGGGGATTCTAATACTATTAAGATTATAGGAAAAGAAAAGATTATAGGGGAGTCAAAAGACCAAAGCCACATCTTTATTACAACATGATGGGTAGGAGGGATGACTTCTTTAAAAAGTAAATTACTAGCAACTTATCACTGTCTTTTGAATGGAGCATGGGAGTGTGAAATTTTATCAGCTAAAAGTTGAATTACACTCATATGAGATAAGCAGGAAAGGAATTTTCTTATGTATTGATGTGCTCTCTTATCAGGAGCGGACAATTGAACGCTTAAAGGAACAGCGGGACAGAGATGAGCGAGAGAAGCAAGAGGAAATTGATAACTACAAAAAAGATCTTAAAGACTTGAAAGAAAAAGTCAGCTTATTGCAAGGCGACCTCTCAGAGAAAGAGGTCAAGATCACCAAAATAGAATGATTTGGTTTGTTTAATTGGTGCATTGTGTGCATATGTTGATGGTCTTTACATAATGCATGTAAAAATGTATATGATGGAAGGTTTTCTTAATATTTTTATAGCAAGCCTTTTCAAAAACCTTAAGGGGTATTTTGGGAAGCTTTGCAGAGACAGTAGATTGGATCATTCATTTCCTAAGTCTTCTCTCTTTCAATATGTTATGAGTTGATTTCTTACTTGTTAATGACATTTTTGTAGATTCTAAAATAACTGAAGCGGTTATACATGGAAAAATATTGTGCTAATGGTAAGAAAGGTGATAGACAAAAAGAATATGCAAATGGAGGACAGCTTATTTACAATAGGTCTTAAAAATTTTTTTTTAAGTTCTAATTTTATTTTAGAGAGAGCACACGAGCAGAGGAGAGGGCCAGAGGGGGAAAGGGTGAGACTCTTAAACAGTCTCTACACTGAACATGGAGCCTGACGCAGGGCTCAATCCCATGACCCTGGGATCATGACCTGAGCTGAAATCAAGAGTACGATGGTCAACTGACTGAACCTCCCAGGCACCCCTATGGTAGCTCTTAAGTGCATCTCAGTATTGGCAGAGAAATCTTAAGTGATTGCTGACCAGTTAGGTGATTTAGTATGTGCTTTGTCTTGCTTTTGGAGGATCCTGTTAACGTGGCCTAAAGAGTAAAAATACCTAATGCCTTGTGATCATGTAATAATTCATGAGCTTTAGGGACATTCTTGGATTTCCTTTCTTATATCTTTAAGAAAATTTATGGTGGGGCACCTGGGTGGCTCAGTCAGTTAAGTGCCTGACTTCAGCTCAGGTCATGGTCTCAGGATTTGTGCGTTCAAGCCCTGCATTGGGCTCTGCACTGACAGCTCAGAGCTTGGAGCCTGTTTTAGTTTCTGTGTCTCTGTCTCTCTCTGCCCCTCCCCCATGCATTTGTTCTCTCTCTTTCAAAAATGAACATTTGGAAAGAATTTATGGTAATTTATGTTTCTAGTGGAACTTCCTTTCTAAACGGGAAAAGCATTTTATATTTATGTTGGTAAAGCTACCACCATAACTAGTAGTGACTTCTACTACAGTGACTGCTTCCATTCACAAAGCTTGATCTCCCTCCATTTATTTTGATATGAATTGAATCACAATTCAATTGGTATTTCTTGGGAATTCAACTTATTTCAGTTAGGACTTGAAAGCTGAGGTTAACATTGTTTTATATTTCATGAATGTTCTTGAAATGGAAATTTCAGTATATTGTAAACAGAAAATATAAGCCACCATGATAATAAATTAAACATTTTTTATTTCCATTTTGTTTGTAGTTAGTATTTACTCTAGATGTGTATTGCTTTTTTTAGGCTTCACTTTTGGATCTGAAAGAGCATGCTTCTTCCCTGGCTTCCTCAGGACTGAAAAAGGATTCACGACTTAAGACACTAGAGATTGCTTTAGAACAGAAGAAGGAGGAATGTCTGAAAATGGAATCACAGTTGAAAAAGGTTAAAGAAAATTTTTCCACTTTTCTTACTTTGTTTTAAATAAGAATATAATAGAAAGCTCTACAGTGTTCACTTTTGGTAAATTACCAATGATATAATAATCCCCTAAAGTTCAAAATGTCATTTATACCTTCATCAGTTCTTTTAGTGTCTTTACCCTGTTTTATTTTACTACTGAGAATCCTTAAACTGTTAGAAAATTGATAATTCAGAGGATGAGTAAAATATGCAGCTCCTTTATGGAGAGAGTATAGGACCACAATGTAAAATTCCTAATTATCTGATATTTTTCTTCCATTAGCATTGGTCTTCCTAGGAGATAATTTAGCAGTGATAGTCACCCATATTGACGAGTATTAGGATTGATACAGATATTTATTATCCATTTCTCTGATTTATTTCTAAGATTTATATGGCAGTTTATAGGTTTCAAAAACACTTTCGTATTTACAGTCTCTGAGCTATCAACTCTGTGAGAATTGGAACTATGACTTTTGAGCAGTTATATTAACTGGGTCCAATTTATATGATGACTCATGAAAACAGGTACAACCTAGTCTTGAGACTTTAAGATTTTTCTTTGTTTTTAAAGTTTATTTATTTTGAGAATGAGAGAAAAGCACATGCACACACATGCGTGCTTGTGTGTGAGTGGGGGAAGGGCAGAGAGAGCAGGAAGAGAGAGGATCTGCACTCTCAACATGTTAACATGGATCTCACGAACCATGAGTTTGTGACCTTAGCCAGAATCAAGAGTCAGATGCTTAACTGATGGAGCTACCCAGGCTCCCCAGGAGTTTAAGTTTTGTTTTCCATAGATTGGGTGTATTCAACATGATATCCTTATAATGAATATATTTCATGTAGGGTAGGTCTAAAGTAAAATCACGTTTTTAAGCTAAAGAGAGGAAGAAAATTTGGTATCTTAAAAGTTACCAGATTAAGTAGGAAAATACTGTTTGTGAGAGTATAGATTCTGATTATAACCAATTCAGATTTGATTTTTGGCTTTTTTTCCTCACTGGAAAGGTGGAAATAATTTTCTACTTAATACCTGAATATCGAAGGTGAAGCTGTTATATGTATTCAGAGTTATAAAACAGAGTAGTAACTGTCAAGAGTAATGTTATTCATTAATATTCTAAACTCCCCTGTTTGTGACAATCCCACATATTCTGCTTACTTTTAATCTTCTTGGTATCATGGTCTCTTGTATCTCAGGCTTTATAAATATTTAGGTTTATGAGAAAAAAATAAAGTTATCTTTGGGTAGAGGAGGCTGATGGCTTTTCCCTACTTTGGTTTATTATCTGTTTTAGTAATGGCCATTTTTTTTTATAAATTTCCTTGTTTCTAGATTATTGTTTCTTTTCATTTTAGTTCATTACTGATATTTTCCTTTTATACTGCTGCCACAGTTCCCAAGTCCAGCAAAGAGGTGGTTATTACAATTTTTATTTGTTTCATTTGTTTTCTGCTTTTTCTCCCTTCTTTTACTCTTCTCTGGTTTTAGTTGAGCATTTTGTATAATTCAGTTTTCTTGCTCCTTTCAGCATATCATTTATATTTCTTCAGTTTTTTCAAATGATTGCCCTAGAGTTTGCAGTATGCATTTTTTATCTATCCCCCAACTTTATTGAGATATAATTAACAAATAGAAATTGTATATATTTAAGGTTTACATGATGATTTATGTATATATTGCAAAATGATTATCACAGTCAAGCTAGTTAACACATTTATCACCTCACATAGTTACTATTTTATTTTTTTGTGGTGAGTACTTTTTAAAATATTCCTTCAGCAAATTTTAAGTATATAAATAGTATTATTAAGTATAGTCACTATCCTATACATTAGATCCCCAGAATTTACTCATAACTGAAAGTTTGTAACCTTTGATCAACATCTCCTCATTTCTCCACCCTCCAGCCCCTGACAACTACCATTCTGTTTTGTTTCTATGAGGTCATCTTGTTTAGATTTTAAATATAAGTAAGATCACGCTGTGTCTAGCTTATTTCACTTAGCAGAATGTCCTCCAGGTTCATCCATATTGTCACAAATGGCAAGATTTCCTTCTTTTTATGAATTCTTTTTATGACTGAATTAAATAATAATTCATTTTTATGATTAAATAATATATGTATTATACACACATATTTCCTTTATCCATTTATCTGTTGGTGGATACTTAGATTCTTTCCATATCTTGGCTGTTATGAGTAATGCTGAGTGAACATGAGAGTGTAGATATCTCTTTGAGATACTGATTTCATTTCTTTTGTATATATATGCAGGAGTGGGATTGCTGGATCATATAGTAACTCCATTTAAGAATTTTTGAGAAAGCTTTGTACTGTTTTCTATAAGGGTTGTTTGAATTTGCATTCCCATCAATGGGGTACAAGGGTTTCCTTTCTCCATACTCTTTGCAACTCACATTTCTAGTCTTTTTGATGATAGCCATTCTAACAGGTATTAGGCATTATCTCTGTGTGATTTTGATTTGCATTTTCTTGATGGTTAGTGATGTTCAGCTACTTCTCATGTGTGTTGGCCATAGTCTGTCCTCTGTCTTCTTTGGAAGAACATCTATTCAAGTCTTTTGCCCATTTTAATGGGTTTATTTGTGTTTGTCCTATTAAGTTTTATGAGTTCCTTACATATTTTGAATACGTCAGGTATAAGTTTTTAAATATTTTCTCCTATTCTGTAGGTTGCCTTTTCATTTGTTGATAGTTTTCTTTGCTGTATAGAAGCTATTTACTTTGATGGAGTCCACCTGTCTATTTATGCTTTTGTTGCCTGTGTTTTTGGTGTCCTATCAAAAAAATCATGCAGTAAACATTTTTAATAGAAGTTCACTTTCAGAAACTGCTGTCCCAGTTTGTGTCGTGCAGGTACCATACAACAGAATCCTCCTGATTCCTTCTTCTCTTCCCCGATAACATCATTATATTCATTTATCCATAGGCGACAATCAGCCAGTACACTACTATTCTTACTTTAAATCATTACCTTTCAGATGAAGAATAAGAATAATAAAAGATATAATTTTAGCTTTATCCCTTCCCCAGTTCTCTTTTCTCTTTATGTATATGTGAGTTTTTGACCTATATAATTTTCTTCTGCATGAAGAACTTCTTTTAATATATTTTTTCAGGGTAAGTCTCCTGGCTATGAATTTCTCAGGTTTTGTTTGTCTAAGAAAGTCTATTTCTCATTCACTTTTGACAGATATTAACAGTCGTTATAGAATTCTGGGTTGGTGGGCTTTTTTCCTGTCTTCTTACGTGATTTTTGATGAGAAGTCTACTGTAGTTCTTAACATTGTTACTCTGATGGTGAGGTGTTTTTTCCCCCTCTGACTTCTTTTAACTTTTTTTTCTTTGTCTTTCATTTTCTATATTTTTAATATGATGTGCCTACATATAGATGCTGAGTATTTATATTGCTTGGTGTTCTGAGCTTTCTGATTTGGTGCATGTCATTAATTTTGGAAAATTCTCAGCCATAATTACTTAAAATGTTTCTTTTTTAAAAAAAATGTTTATTTTTTAGAGCAAGAGAGAGAGAGAGTGTGAGCAGGGGAGGGGCAGAGAGAGAGGGAGACACAGAATCCAAAGCAGGCTTTAGGCTCTGAGCTGTCAGCACAGAGCCCCACACAGGACTTGAACTCATGAGCGGTGAGATCGTGACCCCACCCAGGTGCTCTTAATATATTTTTTCTTTTCCTTTTGGTATTCCAATTATGTATATGTTGCACCTTTTTTTAAAAAAAAATTTAATGTTTTATTTTTGAGAGAGAGAGAGCGTGAGCAGGGGAAGGTCAGAGAGAGAAGGAGGTATAGAATCTTTTTTGGTGAAGGTTTTTTTTTTTAATTTTAATTTTTATTATTTATTTCTAGGAGAGAGAGAGAGAGAGAGACTGCGTGAGCAGGGGAGGGTCAGAGAGAGAGGGAGATACAGAATCTTAATCAGGCTCCAGACTCTGAGCTTGCTGTTAGCACAGAGCCCAATGCAGGGCTCCAACCCATGAACCATGAGATCATGACCTGAGCCTAAGTTGGATGCATAACTGATGGAGCCACCCAGGCGCCCCAAGGGAGGTACAGAATCTGAAGCAGGCTCCAGACTCTGAGCTAGCTGTTAGCACAGAGCCCAATGCAGGGCTCCAACCCATGAACCATGAGATCATGACCTGAGCCTAAGTTGGATGCATAACTGATGGAGCCACCCAGGCGCCCCAAGGGAGGTACAGAATCTGAAACCGCCTCCAGACTCTGAGCTTGCTGTTAGAATAGAGCCCAATGCAGGGCTCCAACCCATGAACCATGAGATCATGACCTGAGCCTAAGTTGGATGCATAACTGATGGAGCCACCCAGGCGCCCCAAGGGAGGTACAGAATCTGAAACCGCCTCTAGGCTCTGAGCTAGCTGTCAGAATAGAGCTTGATGTGGGGCTTGAACCCACAAACCTTGAGGTCATGACCTGCGTTGAAGTCGGACGCTTAACCAACTGAGCCACCCAGGTGCTCTAGTGTTGCACCTTTTGAAATTACTCTTTAGTTCCTGGATGTTCTCTAATGTTTTTTGTTCTTTTTAAAAAATCTTTTCATTTCATTTTGAGAAGTTTCTATTGACTTGTCTTCATGCTTACTGATTCTTTCTTCAGCCATATCCAGTCTACCATTGAGTCCATCAAAGGCATTAATTTCTCTTACAGGTTTTTTATACCTAGAATTTCCTTTTGACTCTTTCTTAAAGTGTTCACCTCTCTGATTATATCACCCATTTGTTCTGGATATTATTTATTTTTCCCATTAGGGAATTTAACTATTAATCAGTTGTCTTAAATTTCCTGTCTGATTAATTCCAGCATTTCTGTCAAATACTGGAGTCTGATTCTGATGTTTACTGTATCTCTTCAGACTACGTCTTTTTTTTGTCTTTTATCATACCTTGTAATTTTTTTTGTTGAAAGCCAGATATGTTGTATCAGATAGCAGAAACTGTGGTAAATAGGCCTATGTGTGAGGGTTTAATCTGCTAGAAGTTGAGCTGTGTTTAATTTTTGCTGTAGCTGTAGGTTCCAGAGGCTTCAGTTTCCTCTAAGTGTCCTTGTCTCTGTTGACTTTATGCTTTTCTCTTCCGAGAGAGTCTGCGTCTTGTAGCTCTTTCAGCTCTTACCCTTTCTTATCATACTAGAGCCCTATTGGTATAGTGGTAAGATGTGGGAGAAGATAAACTTCTATAATCTGATGATTAAGTCTTGGTTTTTATGAGTCTCTGTCCCTGGCTGTGACCTTCACTAAGATTTTCCCCCTTAACTAGAGGGGGTTAGAATGGGAGGAATGCTCATCTGCCAGGTGGGATAAAACTCTGTAAAAATCATTGTTCCAAAGGAGGGTCTGCCTTTGGATAGGGTATGCTTTGGACATATTTCACAATTATTACCATCCCCCCTCCCACCCCCCACACCCTTATCAGAACCACAAGGGGATTTTTGTGAGCTCTTCACTTTGAGAAGGTTCCTGGTATGGTTCCTGAAGGTAAAGCGTGTGAAATGTGGTGGGTCTGCCCTAAAACTGAAGCTTCTAGGGCTTTCTCACTCTCATGCCTGTCCTACTCAGCCTTAGTATTTCCTCAAAGTTACCATTGAAGTGTTTCTGCCAACAGCTTTGCTCCAGGTAAGTAGATCTCAACCATGACTCCCTGGATTTGCTGTGTCTCTTGATTTTGGGGCTGTGGTTTGCCCTTCACCCTCAGTTCTCTGATAGGTCCAGGAAAAGTAACTGATACTCAGTTTCTTAGCTTTTGCTTATTTTAAGAATGATAGTGATGACTTCCAAATGTTTTACATGTTGGAACTGAATTTATAGCAGTTTTCCATATAGAACAGACCTACTCGTTCTTGTTTTATGAAGATATACATGTGAATTTTGCCATTTAGAATAACATCTAAAATAAACCTACAATAAAAATACAATTATTGCCTGTATTTGGGAATCAGATTTAGTTTTATTAATTAATACATAAATATTTATGGAATCAGTAGGTATACTGCTCCCAAGGAATTAACAATATACATTTCTTATATAGCGTTTTAGTTCTACTAGATGTCAGATGAACTTGAATATTTCATTTTGTCGAAGTGTTTCTAAAGTCATTAATTTATATTGGAAATTACCTCTCAAGAAAGAAAAAAAAATCTTTGACTTTAAGATATGTCTTAGAGTAAATGACACTGTATTTCCTAATGTAAGATTGAGATAAGAGTTAGGCAATAAAATGTAAGACTCAGAACAATTGTTTTATCTCACTCTAGTAATAAATACTTCCCTCACACTATTACATTTTAAAAGCAGAGCAGTGAAACAGAGAAAGACAAATACCATATGATAATCACTTACATGTGGAATGTAAAACCAAAACCAAAAACCTTAATCCATAGATACAGAGAACAGATTGGTGGTTGTGGGGGGCAGGAGGTGGTGGTGTGTGGGTGAAATAGGGAAGGGATTCAAAATAGAATCCCTTCAGTTACAAAATAAATAAGTCCTGAAGATATAATGTGCAGTATGGTGACTATAGTTAATAATACTTCTTGTATATTTGAAAGTTGTTGAGAGAGTAGATCTTAAAAGTTCTCATCACAAGAAGAAAATTATTTGTAAGTTTGTGGTAATAGATGTTAATTAGGTATATTGTGATTCTTTCACAATATGCTATATGTATGTCAAATCATTGTAGTGTACACCTGGAACTAATATTATATGTCAGTTTCATCTAAAATAAATAGATAAACCAAATATTGTCAGATGGTTTTTTGAGTTTTTTTATTTGCTACAGTTTTAATTCTTCTTAATAGCTCATTAGGTCTAGGATTTTGTTATCTTTGTCTTCTGTATTAACATTTTGTTGTTGTTTTTTAGCTTATTTGTAGGTTTATATTAACTTTTTTTTACATAGATACAGCTTAGTTTATTTTTTGGTTGTGGGAGCTTTTTTTTAATGTTTATTTTTGAGAGAGCGTGCATCCTCTCAAGCGGGGGAGGGGCAGAGAGAGTGAGACAGGGTCTGAAGCTGGTTCTATGCTGACAGCAGTGAGCCTGATGTGGAGCTAGAACTCACAAACCATGAGATCACGACCTGAGCTGAAGTTGGATTCTTAACCAACTGAGCCACCTAGGCACTCCAGTTGTGGAACTTTTGAAATCTGTTCTCTCGGGTACCTGGTGGCTTGGTTGGTTAAGTGTCTGACTTTGGTTCAGGTCATGATCTCACGGTTCAAGGGTTTGATTCCCACCTCAGGCTCTGTGAGGACAGCTCAGAACCTGGACCTGCTGAGATTCTGTCTTCCTCTCTCTGCTCCTCCCTCATTCATGCTCTGTCTCTCAAAAATAAATAAATGTTAAACAAAATTTAAAAAAAAAAAAACCTATTCTCTCAGAGCGCCTGGGTGGTTCAGTCAGTTAAGTGTCTCAGATCTTGTTTCAGTTAAGGTCATGATCTCACGTTTCCTGAGATTGAGCCCTGCATCTCTGCACTAAACAATGTGGAGCCTGCTGGGGATTCTCTCTCTGCCCACCTTCCCCCCAACCCCCTGAAAAAAGTATACTAAAAAACATCTATTTTCTCAACAATTTTCAAATATACAAAACCGTATTGTTAACCGTATTGACTGTGCTATAGAATACATCCCCAGAACTTACTCATTTTATAATTGGAAGTTTGTCTTCTTTGACTACTGTCATCCATTTCACACACACCCCTCCTTGCTCCTGGCAACCAACCATGTGTTCTCGGAATGATTTTTGGCCTAATAAATATTCAGAGATGTACATATAAATACAAACCCATTTGAAATCCATGATAATTATTTCTCAGTTTATTACTGATATTTTATGTAATATTTAAGCAGAGAAAAACTTCATAAATTGAGGACTGGCATATTTGATAATGCTGTGTTTAAATTAAAATGTAGGGATGTCTGGGTGGCTCAGTCAGTTAAGTGTCTGACTCTGGCTCAGGTCATGATCTTGCAGTTCGTGAGTTCAAGACACTTCATTGTGCTTGCTCTGACAGCTCAGAGCCTGGAGCCTGCTTCACATTCTGTGTCTCCCTCTCCCTTTGCCCCTCCCTTGCTCGCACATTGTCTCTCTCTCTCTCTCTCAAAAATAAGTAAACATTAAAAAAATAAATAAATTGAAATGTAGACAGTCCTTTGGAACTGTAGAATCCACTGCTACTGTATGTGTCTTATGGAATTTGAACACTTTTCTTTGTAGGCACATGAGGCAACATTGGAAGCCAGAGCCAGTCCAGAGATGAGTGACCGAATACAGCAGTTGGAGAGAGAGATTGCCAGGTACAAAGATGAATCTAGCAAGGCCCAGGCAGAAGTTGATCGCCTCTTGGAAATCTTGAAAGAAGTGGAAAATGAGAAGAATGACAAAGATAAGAAGATTGCTGAGTTGGAAAGGTAAGGAAAGGGAAGCTGAATGGTGGACTCACTATGTTAGAAAGATTAAAAACTATACTTTTGGGGGCATACTTTTTCAGTATACCTGCCTCTTGGAATTTAGGTTCTTAGTGCTTATGTTATTTTTTTTAATCTACTTTTTATTATAAGTCATTGTAAATTCATTGCTGCAACATCTAAAAGGTGACATAGAATGGAGATATATTAGGAAGCTCTCGACATCAACATCATTCATTGGAAAGTGAGAAAGTATTCATCAGTTGAGAAACTGAAGTTTTCTACTGGCTAATTAGGAGAGTACAAATAGCTACTAGCTTTTTAATTACTTTACATAGCAAATAAACCTAAAGTTCAAGGGTAAGTTAATATTATTTCATTGGTTTAGACCTTTTTATTGAGCTTGATGCTCCTTTTGGCTATGAATTTTTAGACTTTACATAATTTGTATTTGGGACAAGCTGGCCTTTACGTCAGTGCACAGGTCAAATTTAGAAGAAAAAGGGACATTTTGAGGACAGTTTAGGAGACTTGGATATGATTTTTATGGGTCTCTGAATTCTTCAAAATGAACTCTGTTTACAGATCTGACCAGACAGTTGTCTTGGAATTTTCTGTCTGGCCCCCTCTAATTAGAGTGTTTTATACTAAAGATTAAATATTTATCTTTTGACCTCTTCTTTTACAGCATGTATTTAACATAAATTTACAAGTACATAGAAGCAGTTCTTCTAGTAGAACTTCATTAATCACCCATATTCTTCTAAATAGTCAGAGATGACAGTGACAGAATGAAGTCACTAACCTCTTTAGCTTCTTGCAGCTGATTCCTAGGAATATTTTATTTTCATGTTCTTGAAGGTTGGGAAATCTGAGATGACTTTCATAAGTTGTTTATTAAGTTTAAAATTTATGGGTTACTGGTAAATTTGATATTCCCCTAGAATTAATTTTTCTCCTATTCTGTACCCATAGAAGAGTATGGAAACTTTGAGTTTCAAGAAACTAAAACAATAAAGTTTAATCCTCACAATTTTTCTTCACTGTAGTGAAAGTATGAATCATGGCTGATTGCATACTCGCTAGATTCCGCTTACTTTGATATTATGTTATAAATATTATGTTGCATTTTCTGGTTCTGGATGAGACAAATGGATAGAATTCTTTAGGTCAGAGTTAATAAATTACCAGAGTCTCAAGATTAGATTTTGTGCCTTTTTTCATGTTTGCGCTGCACTTTTTCCCCCCAGGACACACACACACTTACATACTCATGTGGATATACGTCTCCCTGCCTTGTGTAGGCCTGAAATCAGCAGCAGTACTGCCTAGGTTTTAAACAATACTATTTGATGGCTTAGTGACTTCCCACTAAGTATTTTAATATTTCAGAAAAGAGGTTCCTTAAAGTTTCATTTTTCAGTCTGTTTTCTTATTAGATATCTACATTGAAATTATTGCTCATTATTTCAGACAGCTTGCATGGAGAAACTTTGATTCAGTTTTGGGTCTAATGCTGATTTTTGGAGATGGGTGTGACTTGAAAGATAGTAAGAAATAGGATTAAATGTGTTTATATTTCAGACTCAAAGCACAACAGATAGCTTTAATTATCTACTATATTTTTCACATTTTGAGAAAGTTGTAAATGATATGGTTTCCACAGAATATAACTTAAAAGGTTGAAAAGTGCTACGCAGTTTTATCCTCTGTCCAGGTAGCACTGTAATTTTGAGGATTTGACACAAAGTTTCTTGGCTACAAAAAAAAGAAAGTTTTTAAAACTCAGTTTTTGCTGCTGGCTTTATAATTTCTTGCTTAGCAATACAGTTTAAGATATGAATAATAGTCAAAGACAGTTGGGATTATATTATTCCTTTTGTTCCCATATTTAGTACTGAGATGCATGTGTGTGGCTGCTGTGTATCTTACTAACCATTTGCTTCTTGTGTTGCCATTCCACTATTTCCTGTGTGTGGGTGTCTGTCTCCCCATAATTTATCATTTGAATTTCTTCACCTTTCTTTTGATTTGTCTTATGGTCCTAATCCATTGGGGTTTTGGTCTCTGTGTTTTTATGTGTGTCCTCTCTTGGCCATGCTGTTTCTCAGAAAGCCAGTCTCCCGCAATTTGTACCTTCCACGCCAGGTTTCTGTCCCTGCACCGTCAGGGGGGTTTGTTTGGGACTTCCTGGGAAAGTGAGTGTTATGTAAGGCTACAGTTCTGTACTAAACTGAATTGCTACTGCTGCTCTTGCTACTGCTGAAGCTTGCTGAGAATTTTGCTTGATCAGAATTAAAGAACAGCCAGTATAGGTCAAGTTGAACTGTACCTCTTGGGTACATTGTTTTGAGGATAAAGTACGTGTTCTCTGTGGTAAGATTCAGGTATTGTGATTATGATTGTCTTTGTCTTTGTTCCTAGCCCATCTTGTGTGTGGTTGTTCTAATGCTGACATTGCCTTTAAGTAGTGGCCCCCTTAACTAATGTGACGGTAGGTCCATATAGTAATTCAGGATATAGAATTCATTTCTAAAGGGTGTTCAGCAACCTTCTAAATGCAAAAAAAAGTGGACTGTTATGATCATCAAACTAGAGAAAATTCTTAGTGTTCTTTGCAGATTTCCTAGTACTTATGTAAGGATTGCCAGTGTTAAAAGGTTTAGATTAAATCATAAAGAATTCCTAGGCCTGTTCTTTGTGATCTAGATAAAAATGAATAGTCCCTTTCATTGCTCTTGTAGAACGATAGTAACTCCTATTGGGAATGATTCAGTGTTGTGCCACTTTTGTACTGCTGACCTACTGCAGTTTTTAAAAGGATTATGTAAAGACCACCCATATATTTCCACATATAAAACATTTTCCCAATTAAATGTAAGAAATACTTCTAAATTAATATTCTATATTGTGGTGTATATAAGTTGGGAGTTCGACCAGAGGCAGAACTAGGATATCTATGTCTATATCTATATCTATCTACACATAATTTATACAAGGAGATTTAAAAGATTTATTGCAAGGAGTTGTTTTGGATGATTGTGGGGGACTTGGCAAAGGAAGTCTGAAATCTGGATGGCACGGTGACAGGAAGAGAACATCACCATCAAGATAGAAATCCCATGGTATGGGCAATAATTCAGCCTCGTCCACAGGTAGAATGTTTTTTCTCTCCTAGGAAAACCTCCGTCCTGCTTTTAGGGGCCTTCCAAAGGATTCAGTTATGCCCACTTATTATCTGGGATAATCTCCTTTGCTTAAATGGATTAGAGGATTTAATTACAACCTTCATAGCAACCTCTAAATTAGTGTTTGGTTAAGTAACTAAGCACTTTAGCCTAGTCAAGTTGACATTTAAAAAACTTATCACCTAGTGATTTTGGATAGTCTTTATAGATCAGTTTAAGGGGGAAAAACACAAAGATTAAAAAGCTCTAGAGCTTTACCTGTCTTTATGTAAGCAGATCAATTTAGATTAGCCTTAGGAACCGTGAATGTAATTGAGAATTTCTTTTCTAGGGACACCTGGGTGGCTCAGTCGGTTAAGTGTCCGACTTCTGCTCAGGTCATGATCTCGCACTTTCTGAGTTTGAGCCCCATGTCGGGCTCTGTGCTCACAGCTGAGTCTGGAGCCTCCTTCAGATTCTGTGTCTCCTCCTCTCTCTGTCCCTCCCATGCTCATGCTCTGTCTCTCAATAATAAATAAAAAGGTTAAAAAAAAGAAAAAGAATTTCTTTTCTAAAGTGATACTAGAGTTTATATTTAGATTTATAAAGGAGAGGCTTATCTTTGGCATAATGTTTAAAATACTGAGAGAAGAGTAATGTAGGCTGATAGAATTCTGATGTAGTATCTTTACAGACTTCTGATTTAATATCTTTTTAGACTTCTGCAATGATTGTTTAAATTTTTTTAATTAAAAAATTGTTTTTATTGAGGTATAGTTGGCATCTGACATTATATTAATTTCAGGTATACAACATAATGATTCAATATTTGTATAGATTGCAAAATAATCAATTAACTGTAGTTAACATCTGCTACCATACAAAGTCACAGAAATTTTTTTTTCATGTAACAAGAACTTTTAGGATCAGTTCTCTTAGCAGCTTCCAAATACACCCTCCTCCTCCTTCCTCCTCCTTCCTCCTCCTTCCTCCTCCTCCCTCCTGCCTCCTGCCTCCTCCTCCTTCCTCCTTCCTCCTCTCCCCTCCTCCTGTGTTCAAGTTTTTATTAATGAGCTTACCTTCTAGAAGGGAAAGATAGAGACAACTAGATGATTCAGAGGCTATTCACTTGAAAGTCTTGCTGAGGCCAAAGGCTTTTCCCATGTGCTGGGACGCTGTTTCAGAGGACAGGTACTTTGGAACTGACATGTGGGTTACTTTGTTGCCAGGTCCAAACAGGTGTCAGTCAGGTGTCTGACTCTTAGCCCTTCTGTCAGTTTAGATTCAATAAAGAGATACTTCTGGCTTCAGAAGACTAAGACTTCAACAAAGAGCTGCTATTGTCTTTTCCTTTGTGATGATGCTAGCACAGGCATCTTTCCATGGCTTGTGTAGTAGCTGGAAATTTCAGTGATCAGGTTTTAGTTTGAGGTTTGGTTGAACTCTCCTGAGAAGTAATACTCAACCTACCCAGTTAACATGTACCTCTGGATATAGGATTATCAAAAAGAAGGGACTTATTGTTGAACTTTGTACTCTTATGTGTGGTCTTTTAATTTTTAAGACCAATATTGAATGATAATGGCTAGGAGGTTGTCTGGTTTGAAGACTAGTAGGTAATTTTGGATCCTGGACTTTTAATTTCAGGCCGTAGAACTCTGTGTAGGTGGAGACATGAAATAGAGAGGGAAAGCCAGGATACTACTACTGCTAATGTTCTAAGAAAGCAAGAGAATCAGAGACAAGTTTTGTTATTCATTCGTTCGTTAATTCATTCATTCATTCATTCATTCATTCATTCATTCATGTGTATACATGTGTATACACACACACACACACATGATTAGGCCAGTTCTGTAAGTAATATAATGGAGGAAACTTTAAAAAAAATTTTTTTTTTTTTTTTGAGAGAGGAGAGTGCTTGGGGGAGGGGCAAAGGGAGGAGAGAGAGAAAAACTTAAGCAGGCTTCATGCCCAGTATAGAGCCTGACACAGTCTCAATCCCACAACCATGAGTGAGATCATGACCTGAGCTGAAATCAAGATGCTTAATCGAGTGAGCCACCCAGGAACTGCTAGTTGTTGTTTTTTTTTTTTTTTTAACTTTTTGATGGTTAAATTTTATGGGCTAGCAAGAAAACCTAAACTACATGTATAATGTTATTTCCAAGGGAATTACATTCTGGTTTATAAACAGTTGGCTTTATTTAAAAGTGGAGTATGATCTAGTCTTAAAATTTGGAGCTGCTTTAGTCAATTTTGTCCCTCCGTCCCTGATTTTGTGTCTCACTTTGCTCAAAATTCAGCCCCCGAATTAACTTTCTGAGCTGCTAAAGTAGTAACTCCATTTCATTTTGGTAAGCAAGATAAATCTGTACTTCATGTAGATTCAGATCAATGTACTGAGCTGAACTTGAACACAAAGAATGGGGTTGTTGTCCTGTCCTTCCAAGTGTGAGATATAATCTGGGGTGTTAACTTGCATGTGTATATGTGTAAGAGAAAGAACTTTTCTGGTGGTATTTGGAGAAATTAGGGAAGGTAGTTGCGAGGCTTAAATCTTATGGCTCAAGGATTTGGCCTTTTGAGTTTTTGATTTGCTTTTAAAGATTACTGGTGTCTGAAATGTTATATTATGAAAATGGAGTTGTCTTTATTTTTCATAAATCTTCTAAAATACGTTGACAAATGTGAACTAGTTTACAGGATGATTATTTTCAATATTTGGTTTTGTAGTCTTAAAATTATTTCTGTTTTCAGAAAAAAGTGGACTTCGAAATTAGAAGATGAGTCCTTTTTTGTTAACTTCTTTTTCTTACTCCTTTGTCTTTGACTAAAATTTTCTGTTTGCATATTCTTTTGTGGGAATCTGACCCCTTTTAATTGTTATCTTTTGGAAAACAAAGCCAGCTTTACTGATCTCTCTGAGGTAGTAATTTCTCTTTCCTTTATGTATGCTATTCTTATAGTGTCTATCATAGTCTGTCCTGTGACTGTACATTATTGAGAGCCTAATCAATGTGTATGTTAATACTTAGAGACAGAGCTCCTTTCTCATTTCACTATCTAATCATCCCACGTTTCTTCCCTTTTCATCTATCACCTGTATATTCAGATCTTTCATCAGTCAAACAGATGGAGATTTTTGTCCTTTATCACTTGTTAGTTACATTGCTGGTATTATTATTTTTATATTCATTTTTTTCTGTATGTTTGTAATGTGTTTACAATTGTGCATATATTTTTCCTTTTGTAAAAGTATAAGTAAATCATCTATAAAATATTTTTGTATAATTTAATATAATTGAGGGGATTATTTTTTGATCTGTAAGTTAGATAGAAATGTAGATAACCTCCATCCTCTTTTGTCACAGTGAAATACCAACTATAACTTTCATTTTTACATTTTAACATCTCTGAATCTGAGATATATGTATAAATAATGGCTAGACATAATTTAATCATTATAATATTTTTCTTCTTAGCTTAGCTGATACATAAAGTAATGGTTCATCTTCTGTCTTTGGTGAATTGATTTTGAAGATGGATTCAAAGAGGAAATAAAATTGTTTTAGAGAATCTGGGAGTGAATGGAAGTATTTCCAAATTAATTTTACTTTCTTATGTACTCCATTTTAAATGTGTGTAGACAAATGAATATATTTACTATTATAATTAGATATTTGACTGTTTTACCTACTTCCTGTTTATTTATGTAGGTTGACCTAAAATTTTTTGGACCTTTTCTTTGGAAGAATGGACTTTATGATTCTGATTGTTTTTTATTGGTATCATAGCATATTTAGGCATCTACACAATATAACCTAAAAATGGTTACCCATGTATTTAGTCTTCATATTTATAAATTTTTAATATAAATTTAGTATCAAATGCCAAATTGATATTCAGTTTAATGTCTTCAGAGATCTTCTGTATAGAAATTAATATTAAGTTATATATAGCTTTGGCATCTACTAGCATATGATTCATGAGGTAAATAGTTCCTTAGGGAAGAATTTCCTTGCTTTTAAATTCATGGTTATGTACCTTTGACCCATGAAGTTCAGTGTCAGAGAATATGGTCTTCCTGTAGTGTGAGCAGAAGAGAAATGACTGCTGCTGCTATGGAGGTTGTGTGTTCTTGCTTGAGGGAGAATGGTTTGTTTCCAAAAAAAAAAAAAAACGAAAAAGAGAAAGAGAAAGAAAGATACTAAGAATATTGTAACTGAAGATGACTGGTTCTTTATCTGATCCTGCTTGCTTCAGCTTGCTTTCTGAGGAAGCTGCTTGTTTCTTTCTTCTTTCTCCTTGATGAATTTCACTGATTTCATTTAGAAGAAGTTACGCAGCATTACATCATTCTATTATATCACCTTCCCAGAGTTTCTTGTGGGCACAGCACCTTGTCATTTGTTACTACAGTCTTGATAGGAATTTTTGTTTAGTAGTTACCTTAAGGTTTTACTTAAAGGTACTAACATTAGAGTTATGTATAATTATTCTACGTGCAGATTTTTTCCTTCCAAATTAATTTCCTTAGAGCTATAGTTTGATGCCAGAATCAGCTATGTGTGACTCATGAACAATAAAATAGGTTAGAAGTTGCTTGTTGTTGAAAGGAGTAAGCTTAATTTTTTTCCATGGATTTACCCAAGTCTTATTTAAAGACTTGCAACTATAGGAAATTTCACTTAATGTCATTGTTAATCTTAAATTACTCTGATTTATTGTGTCATAACCAACAACATAGAAAAGGTAATTGGGAACTGTCACTTAGAGAGTAGTCCTTTTTTTTTTTTTTTTTTTTTTTTGGCCTTTGAACATTGTCTGCATTCTCTACTGTTTCATATATGCCAAAGATCCATGGATTTATTTTATACCTTCCCTTTAGGAATCTGTAAGCCTCACAGAATATATAAATACGCCCAGGGAGATGTCAACAGATCTATATTTTTATCCTGGATCTGCCACTTACCCACAGTGTGATTGTGAGGAAGTCATTTTTATTCTCAATTTTTTCATTTCTCTTTATCTTATATAATGGGAATAATAAATCTTCTCATTCTTACCTTTCATCATTTTCACAGTGACTTTTATTTTTTTATTATTTTTTTAAAATGTTATTTTTATTTATTTCTGAGAGAGAGAGACAGCATGAGCAGGGAAAGGTCAGAGAGAGAGACACACACAGAATCTGAAACAGGCTCCAGGCTCTGAGCTGTCGGCATAGAGCCCGACAAGGGGCTCGAACCCACGAACTGTGAGATCATGACCTGAGCTGAAGTTGGACGCTTAACCAACTAAGCCACCCAAGCACCCCCACAGTGACTTTTAAAAACCCTGGTTTTAATTACTGAAACATTAGAAAGCAAAATACAAATTGAAATGGTGCTTGCATTCAAGAAACTAACCTTTTGTTTTGGATTCTTAAAGTGAAATTTAGATCCTAAAGACAAACTGTATGGCTCTGGCCATTAGAAGTCTTGAGTATTTGGAGGATAATACTAACTTCAGTGAAATTGATTAGTTTTTTAAAAGGGAAAACTGCCTGTTATTATAAAAAAGCAATAATGAACCACCAGGGCTACATGTTATGTAGCAGTATTAAGCATGGCAACTTCACATCTCTAACTGCTGAATAGTATTAGATACGGATTGATTAGAAACGGAGCTGTATATTCTTGTTCATTATTGCTTTTAGATTGCACCATTTGAGGTGGGTTTAGGTAGATTGGGAATGAGAAAAAAATTAAGTTCTAATTAGGAAAAAATTGTTACTGTTTTCACATTTGGGACCATTTCAAGTTCTTCCACATAAACTAGAATTCTGTATTCTACAGAATGAATCTATTGATGTTTTTCTAAAAGCTTTTGTTATGGATAACTTGGACCCAAGAAATGAAGTGGGGTGGGTAAAGGAGTAGTCAATTATAAGGTGGGTATGTATAAAACTAAGATGATTTGAGATCACACTTTGGTACTTAAATTGAAAGCGGAGCTGCTGACCTTCTCTTCTTTTTTTTATGTTTAGTAAATTGTTTTTTTTACCCTGCTCCAAGAAATGGTCAATTTTAGACAAAATTTTTTCTTTGAAACTAACATTAAGGTAGAATGGTGTAATCTAATATGAAAACATACTTGTTAAGTGTTGTAAATCTGAAATTACTAATTTTTAATGCCTGTGTAGAATATGTGTTACACCTTTCCCTTCTCTAATCCTGTGCTGTATGTTTTGTCTCTGTCTGTGAATAACATTATTTCCTGAATAATGTCCTTATTAATAATTCTTTCTAACTTTCTCTTCCACATTTTCTTCCTGGATTTGCTGTTTTCTTCAGTCTCACTTCAAGGTCAGTATGGTTTTACTCAAAAAATGTTAGTATACCACACTCTTCTCTTTATCTTGAGCTCTAATAAGAAACTAAAATGACAGCACTTACTTTAGGGAAGACATGTCTAGAAATCTAGTTATGCGGGCATAAAATGTCAAAAGTTTTAGGTTTACCAGAAGAGTAGATTCAAAGTTCTTTGCGCCAGAAGATAAAGTAGTCAGAAATCAAGAATCAGACTGAGCAGGTTTTGACTGAAAGCAAAATGAAGATGAAAGGAGCCACCAGGGGAATGAGAAGAAAATGGTTTTAATGTAATTAAAATTTCATCAGAGACATAAAATGTAGCGTGAACGTTGGAGGGAAATTCTGTAGTCTGGGTTTTTAGAAGAAACTTGAAATTATTTTATATATGCAAACTTATATACCCTTTAAATTTTGGTTTTGTGATTCTGCTGAATGGTAGAATAAATGAGAATATAAACAGCCACCCCTGCTTCTATTTATATGTGCCAGAGGCACTATGGTAGAACCTTTACATATTTTACTTCCACTGATCTTCCTAGCAAGTATGTAGAGAGATTTATTATTTCTACTCTTTAGGTGAATAACACAAAGGCTGAGCCCATTATGTAATTTGTCCATCCTTATTAGGAAGAGAAGCTAACAGAGCACACATTATCATTCTGATGAGGAACTAAGATTAGGGAACATGATTTCTTTAGGGTCAACCAATAAGTAATGGAATTTATATTTGAAGCCAGATCTCGTTTTAGCCTCAGGGCTTTATGTATTCTGTGCTCTCTACCATAGTAATTAACAGTATGAGTTATAGAGCCCCAGATTTTGCTTGAAATTTTTTTAGGTGTCTCATCTGTAGGTTTTTCATCTGTAAAATTGGGATAATTATCTAATCTCAAGGGTTGTTGTGAACATTAAATGAGTTCATATAAACAGCACTTTGAACAGTATCTGATACAGGGTAAACAGTCAATATATAGAACTATTATGATTGCTCCTTTTTGCCTTTTGTGGAGTCCTATTTGATCCAGGATATGATAGCATGAAGTGATATATTTCAGGTTCTTTAAAACACTATACTGTTCCTATTGATTCATACCACTGTTAATAGAAAGTGCAAAGTAGAATCCCAATGGAAAGTTATATATGTGTAGAAAATGAGAAAAGATATTTCTTCTGTAACGATATTTGTTTTAACTCTCTACTAATCTTTTCAAGTCCTGAATTTCTGTTACAGGTAAAATATGTGTTGAAGCTTTTTAGGAAAAAGATTCTTTTTCCCATTTCTACTCCCTGGTATTTCTTCTCAGTGTTTAAATTGATGACCTAAATATTTCTGAAAAAGTCTCCTTACCTTTGACTCATTTAAGAATAAAGCAGTTTGTGTGGGTTGTAAATACATTAATAAACAAAAGAAACCCTTCTTTCATAATTACTTATACTGATCTAGTTTAAAAAATTTTTAATGCTTATTTATTTTTGAGAGAAAGAGAGACACACAAAGAGCAGAATGGGGGAGGGGCAGAGACAGAAGGAGACAGAATCCAAAGCTGGCTCCAGGCTCTGAGCTGTCAGCACAGACCCCCACACAGGGCTCCAACCCACGAACCATAAGATCATGATGTGAACCAAAGTTGGATGCTTAACGAAGTGAGCCACCCTGGCACCCCTATATTGATCTAACTTCTTCAGTCAGATTTATATTGTCCTCTTCCTTCTCTGTTAGCAGAGGACCTCCCCTCCTTTGCCAAGTAAATAAAGCTTTAGGGCATCCACAATTTTGAGTTTATATTTTCATTCATATTAACCTTCCTTTTGTTTCTGTGGAACTAATGTCCCAGCTCTTTTCGAAGGTTAAATTTTCCTATTCTTACTTCCTTCTTATCAGTTTTTTTAAGGCTTTTAATGTGTGATTTGTTTTGTTTTGTTTCTGAGAGAGAGAGTGAGAGGGACAGCATGAGCAGGGGAGGGTCAGAGAGAGAGACAGAATCTGAAGCAGGCTCCAGGCTCTGAGCTAGCTGTCAGCACAGAGCCCGACGTGGGGCTTGAACCCACGATCCATGAGATCATGATCTGAGCCGCTTAACCGACTGAGCCACCCAGGCCCCCCCCCCCCTTATCAGTTTTTAAACCCTTGTTGTTTAGATTTCCTCCTTCTCCTTATTTCCATTCTGTTCCTTTCCACAGATTTTCCCAAATGTAAAACATATACTAGTTTCCCCCATTGTTAAAAAGAAATGTAAATAACCTTTGTCAGTATCTTTTCCTTGGCCTTAGTTCAGTACACCATATTAATTTTACCTTTTACCTTTTTTTTCTGTTGACTTGCACAATTTTTGAAAGAATCATTTATGCTTGCTGCCTCCACTTCCACACTTCCATTTATTTGTCAAATGTAATTTGGATTCTTCTCTCACTGCTGTGGTAAAATGGCTTCAGTGATATACTGGTTGCCAGATTTAGTGACTTTGTCTTGGGTCTATTTGACCTTTCTGGAGTGTTAGATATTATCGATTACCTCTTTTCTTTCTAGGAACCCTTCTTTTGTAGTTTATGTGATACTGTTTTCTGCCAGCTTGCATACCACCTCATTGACATTTTTCACTCTATTTTGGTTTTCTTCTTTTACATGTTTCTTAACTCTTGGGATTTCTCATATTCATTTAAAAAATTTCATTTTCATTTACATTATTGGCTACCTGCCTTATTACTTACTACCAAAGACTCAGTTTTATTTATTTTGTTTTGTTTAAGTTTTTATGGAACTTCTATTTCAAACTGTATTTATTATAGAACAAATCTTACGTTGTTTGCGATAAAAATAGCAAGCACAAATACTGCATTAAAAAGTGATATTCCCATTTTCTACTGTAAACATTTTTTCCACACATAGTAAAGCACTATGAGTACCACTTAAGTAATTCCAAGTATGGTACAGTCTGAACACAATTCAGCTTTAGTTACAAAATACCATGAAGGCTTTTGCCTTGTGTTTGGAGAACTTTCATCTCTAACTTAAGTATCAGGTGGACATATTTTTTTAATAATTTATTTTATGTTTTTAATGTTTTATTTATTTCTGAGAAAGAGAGAGAGAAGGAGAGAGAGAGAGAGAGAGCATGAGCAGGGGAGAGTCAGAGAGAGAGGGAGACACAGAATCGAAGCAGGCTCTAGGCTCTGAGCTAGCTGTCAGAACAGAGCCCGATGCGGGGCTTGAACCCATGAACTGTGAGATTATGACCTGAGCCGAAGTTGGATGCTTAACCGACTGAGCCACCCAGTTGCTCTCAGGAGGACATATTTTTACAGGAAAGTTTTATCGCTTTTGTCTTATGTATGGCAGGTTTTGATCTAAATATCTCTAAACAAAGCCCTACAAAAAGCCCCAGAATTTGTCTGTGAAAGTCATTATTGTATATGTAGTTCTGTGAGTTACAGGTTATGTTAATTATATTGTTAGCTGCTTCATTTTAGTAGTTTTTACTCTAGCTGTAAATGCCATTAAGCTATACTTATTTCTAAATAAGTTTATTTTCTAAGAAATACAAAATAAAACAGGTTTTATTTTTCCAGCGGCAGAGATCATTTTAGTCTTGGTATGTAGTATGTTTGAGGTTGGAAATTAGTGCAGTACTTTTTTCTATACAGAAGCATTTCACCATTTTAATTATGACTTTGTCAAGTCCAACCGAGCAGATCATTAAGAAAATATTGATGGCTTGAGATTGGATTGGATGTTTGGATAACTTCATTATGGGACCATGGGCAGGATACTTAACCCTTATGTTTTTGTTTTAACCACTTGTTTTGTGTTAATACTGACACTTAACTGTAGTGTTTGTTTTTCAGTGTCCTCCTCTAAGCATTTCTGGTTTGTATAGATTTGTTTTCTCTCTCTTTCTTGTTCTTTCCTGCTTTCCCTCTGTCCCTTCTCCCATTTCGTACAGAGCAGAGGGATTTCATTTAGAGTGATCATGACTGAAGATTCACATTCTCTATTCTTAAGCATGTATACATGTCTTTAGTTATTATTCAATGGCATTATCCCCAGAGAAAGAATACAAAGAAATGATTGCATGAATAGATGAGAATATATGATTTGATTCAGAACTCATCATTACTTTTTATTTAGTAGCACCTTTGGCTAAAGGCAACACATTCAGTAGGTGAAGCCTATAAATACCCTCTCATTTACTTACTCCCTGGTTATACAAATTGAGCTCAGTATTATCACCCCTATTTTATTTGGCAGTGCCTGTTGCAGACCTATCTTCAAAACAAATGTTTGGAATCTGGGACACTTCTTATCCATAACATTTAGACCAGAGTCCCTATATTGTTATGTAATAAAAGTTAAATACTTTTATGTCTTGCTCAGATGCATTCCTGTTTGTATATAGTCTCTTTCGTCTAATTTGATGAAAGAGTTTTACATTGATTTCCAAAGTCTAAGTCAACCAGCCTATTTCTGATTGCACATCCTAGAATGTTTTTCATTGTTGTATGATAGTAGGCACTAAAATCTCATAAGAAGTCATTAACAAAAAGAGAACTATATTTTGAAGGCTTCATTTTTTTCTTTTTCCTTTCTCTTTCTTTCCTTTCTTTTTTTTTTTTTTTTTTCACTAAAACATTCAGGGTTTTATAGGCCTAAGAGCATTTCTGACTCTGTGGGATCTATTTACAAGGAGTTTGATTTATAGACAAGAGTATAATTTAGGAGAACGATCTGTTGTTAATTGCATTTTTTACTTCTACTTGTCATTTTGTTGGTTTTTTTTTTAATTAAAAAAATTTTTTTAAATTTATTTTTGAGAGAAAGGAAAATGGAGTGTGCATGGGGAAGGGGCAGAGAGAGAGGGAGACACAGAATCTGAAGCAAGCTCCAGGTTCTGAGCTGTCAGCACAGAGCCTGATGCAGGGCTCAAACTCATGAACTGTGAGATCATACCTGAGCTGAAGTCAGAGGCTTAACTGACTGAGCCACCCAGGTGCCCCTT